TGTCAATATGGATCCTAGTTCTGAAACCACAGAACTTCTAGAGGAGAACACGGCGGGCAATGTGATGACCCTGGGTCAGGCCAAGACTTCTTAGAGAGCACGTCAAAGGCACGACCTACAAGGGGGAAAGTGGGTAACTGACCTTTCTCAAAATCTAAAACTTATGTCCTTCACAAAACTGGGCAGAGAATGAGAGAACAAGCCACAGACGGGGAGAAAATAATTGTACGTCATAACGTGATGCAGGCTGCTGTCCAGAGTATAAAAGGAACGCCCAACGGTCAGTACGGAAACGATGCAGTCACTCAAAGGGAGGGTGCTGTGAGGAGCTCCCCAGCCTTGCCGCGGAGCTGGTCAGCCTTGCTGGGACTCCCCCGGCCCCAGTCCTCCCCGGGCACAGCTCCTGTGACAGCAAGTCCAGACATCTGGCCACGCGTGCACCCAGGCGCAGCGCACAGTGGGCGGGAGGCTGGGGTCTGCAGTGAGGGCACTCCAGGGACCCCCCCTCTCCCCGAGAACCCACCTCTGCCACGGTGGGCACCAGCACCTTCCGGCACGGGGAGGTTCGGGGGTGCCCCTCGCCAGGTCATGCACACGGGGGAGACCTCAAACCGTCACACCACAGAGCTACAGCAAGGCTCACGCGCTCCCACCATGACCCATTAACCAGCCACACTTGGGTACTAGGTCTGTTAGCACATTTTGCCATTTAATTTTCTTCACCGAAGCATCTAAAATTATACTCCCTTGATGCCCAAACGTTACGGTGTGACTTAGGGAAAACAGGTCGATGGCAGAATCCAGCCCAGAGCAACTTCAAGCCTGTTTGCACCACGAAATCCAAACCCAACTGTACTAGTGTCCTGGGGCCACCATACCACAGCCCTGTAGCCGGCGGCCCAGACAACAGACATTTGCTCCTCTCGGTCCTGGAGGCTGGGAGTCTGAGATCCACGCGCGGGCAGGTTGGCTTCTGAGGCCTCACTCCTGGGCGTGCAGACGGCTGTCCTCTCCCCGTGTCCTGACACGGTCGTCCCTCTTCTCTTCTTACAAGGACACTGGTCAGACCCACCCATGACAATTTCATGTTCCCTTAACTATGTCTTTAAAGATTGGGGGTTAGGACTTGAACATATGAATGGGGGGGGGGGGGGCGCGCAACTCGGCCATCGCAACAGTCCGGGGTTTACTTCATCCTTCGGAGCTATGGTTTTTAATCCTTTATGGTTTCTGAAGCAAGAGAACACACACAAACTGCACACTCACGTGTGCCCCGGTCCATAATTTTCACGAGCTAGAAGGTCATTTCGATGAAAACCAATGACTCGCCCTCCTTCTACAGTCAGAGCCAGCAAGGCGGAGCCACCAATGGGGTCCTGGGCCTTCTCCACCGCACCGGCTCTCAGCCCCCTGCTGACTCACCCCCACGGCCCCCCACGGGCAGCCCATGGAGAGCGGGACTCACCAACACAGCCTTCTCACAGTATCACTCTTGTAAGAAGACGAATGGAGGCTATTGGGTTTTTTTAAGTATTTTAAAAAATATTTTTAACATTTATTGATTTTTGAGAGGGAAACAGAATATAAGCAGGGGAGGGGCAGAGAGAGAGGGAGACTCAGAATCCGAAGCAGGCTCCAGGCTCCAAGGGGTCAGCACAGAGCCTGACGTGGGGCCTGAACTCACAAACCGTGAGATCATGACCTGAGCCCAAGTTGGACCCTCAACAAGCTGAGCCCCCCAGGCGCCCCGGCTGAGCCCCCTGCAGGTGCCCCGAGGCTCCTGGTTTTTGAGCATCTACTCTGCACCTACCATCTGCCCGGAGACTTTATGTAACAGACGCCATTATGGGGCAGAAAGGTTCAAGATACTACACACCCCAGGGGTAGGGCCTGCAACACAGCTTCATTTAAGAGAAGTCCGCACACTGCAGATGAATACTGATGGGACTTCCCTGTGTTCTGGGCCCCAGCAAGCCCCCGCCCCCACCAGAGCTGGCTGAGCAAGCAGCACGGGAGAGAAGAGGTCGCAGACAAGCACCAGCTGCCCTTCACCTGCCCTTCACCTGCCGGTGAGCAGGCAGCATGTGCTGTGGGTCTCATGGACCACCGCAGCCCGCCAGGCTCCCACCTGCACTCCCAAGGGCCGACCAGCCGGATGCCAAGCACCTTTCAGCGGTCAGCTGAGCAAGCAGATGGTCGTGGAGCACTGGCCCCGGCTCTGGCTGGAATCGGGGTGCACGAAGCCCCCAGGACTCCCTGGTGAGAGAAGTCAGACTTCCCGGCAGGCGTTAAATGGCGAGGCCATCACCCAGAGGGCCTCTGTGGGGGCCCTCCCCACCCTGAGGAAGGCTGAATGTACCCCCACACTGGAGCCAGAGCACTGACTCAAACAGAACTGAACGGTGCCCAGTCAGAGACCCGCACGTGGACGCCTCCAGGGGCCCCTGGAGAACTAAGCCAGGCCAGGCTGATGCCACCATGCATGCCCCGCACAGATGCCACGCTCAGCAGAGGGCTGTGCTGGGGTTCAGGGGGCCTAGGGGCCCCGAGATGCCCCAGACGAGAAGACTCAGGGACCCGTCACCAAAGTCAGGGTCAGACGGCAGGGGGACGAGGAGAGCTCCCATGGCCAGTGCCGAGCCACCAGCCTCAAAGCGGAGAAAGTCACGGCCTCCAGGTGCTTGGCTGTGGTGGCCGCATCCTTCCCGCGGCTGACTCATGGGGGCTGGGAATGCCAGGGGCCTGCGGCCCCGGAACCTGGCCTGCAGTGACCTGCATAGTATGACAGCGCTCTCAAATCAGGGCCACCAAGTGGCCCTGCAGAGTGGGCTGCAGTCGCATGTTAACTGCAGTTCCCCAGAGTCTGCGTTGCAAAGGCAGGCACATCACCCTGTGCACATGGGTCCTGTACAAGCAGCCCTCCCTGATTGCCATGACCCGGCAAACGCCTGCCCCCTCTCAGCCTGACTCCCTTCTGTGACACCGTCCACCCCTCCAACCAGAGGCAGACCCTCTTCCAGTGACTGCTGCTGAATGAATGAGCGAGTGAATGAATGAACGGACAAACGAACAAACCAGCATCATGACAGTCGAATGGAATGGGAAACAGCAGTCAAATCAGAAAAGACAATGTCCTAATTTAAGACAGATGTTAGAAATGACAGACACTTTCGGGGCGCCTGGGTGGCTCAGTCGGTTAAGCAGCCGACTTCGGCTCAGGTCACGATCTCGCGGTCCCTGAGTTCGAGCCCCGCGTCGGGCTCTGTGCCGACAGCTTGGAGCCTGGAGCCTGTTTCAGATTCTGTGTCTCCTTCTCTCTCTGACCCGCCCCTGTTCATGCTCTGTCTCTCTCTGTCCCAAAAATAAATAAACTTAAAAAAAAAAAAAGAAATGACAGACACTTTCAACCTAAATGCCTGAGCTTTGCTGAAATCTGCTCTGACGGGAGTCCTCACACAGCCCACGGGGCCCCAGTAAGCGGCCAGTTAAATATGTTACCACGATGAGCCTTCATAAAATCAGAGCACGTACACGAAGGCATCCCTGGGGGGCACCGCTAACCCTCCTTCTTGGGAGGGGGGCAGAGTACCAAGCCGGGACCCACAACTTCTCACTGTGCCAGTCTGGGTGCAGGAGCTTCGGCAGCAGGCCCCCCGGAGGCCCCTGAGCGGGCGTCCGGGCACCCGGCTGGCGGGAGCGTCCCCGGCTCCCCCGCTGACCAGAGCAGCCCCTGTGGCTCACCCGGTCACGCCAATGCCGTGTCCGTGGCGACACCTTCCTCCCGGGGGCCTGCGGTTTGGGCCGCGCCAGGGAGAGTGGCCCGAGGGACCGGCCGCCGGCAGGAGCCCTGCTCTGTGTCTCTAATGCGCTCCCCTGGCGGCCGAGACCCCACACGTGTTGTCACAACGCACCCCACCTGACGCCCTGGGAGAGGATGCTGGCAGCTGGCGTCTGCTTCCTCGGGACCTGCCCCCCTGCGCCCCCTCCCCCCCCTTTACCCTGTGTCGATTGTGCTTCGATTTCACCGGGGTAAATCCCAGTCGTGAGCATGACTGTGCCGCGTCCTGTGTGTCCTCCTCGTGGGGCATTAAGTCTGGGCTGGTCCTGGGACCCTGATGCAGGAGTCTTAGAGGAGGGAGGAGTTAAAGATGCTCGTAGGAGTGCGAGACCCTTTTAGCTTTTTGTGACTTCTTTCTCCAAGAACGCTGCCTTGCCCACACCTAATTCTAGAGAGTTGTCCTTTATGCTGTCACCCTGTCAAGGCTCCGCAAAGCACCTGATGTAGCTGCCACCCCATCTGGTCAATGTGTGTAACTTGCAACTACAGCAGCCAGTGGACGGGCCAGAGCAGGTCAGGGACAAACTGACTGCGGGGGGCGGGGGGCGGCGCAGGCAGGCGGGGCAGGAGAGAGAGACCTTCTAGCTGCAAGGTCCACGTGCTGAGGGCACAAGGAAGGACATTCTTTGGAGGGAGAGGGGGAGTGTCAACGGCCCAGCAAGTCCAGAGGCCCCCCTGGGCCCTCCAGTCCCCTAGGAGAGGGGAGGGGCTCCTGGTCATTCCAGGGCCGGCCAGGACCTGCCTGTAAGAACCAAAACCCTTACCTAACTGTCCTGATGCTGAAAAGACACAGTGGGACGCTGGCTTCCTCGAAACCCCCCACCCCGTCCTGCCCCCCCAGAGATCTGGGAAGCACACCCCAGCCCCCTTCCCAGGGCAGACGGAATCCAGTAAGACTTGTGGGCAGAATGCACCAAGAACATTCTGGAACTTTGTGAAAGACCCTGCCTGTCACTCGACAAAACTGAACCACATCTCATGTGTTCACACTGGTCGTTGGCTAAGTTGCAGGACATTTCTGGTGTCGCTTCCCCGGCTGGCTCTGAAGCGTGCAACACAGCCAGAGTCTGAGCGCCCCCACCCCACAGCCTGGCCCCTCTCCCCTGCTAGCTGCTCCCTGGCCAAGACCCTGCCGGCTCCTGCTCATCCCGCCTCCCCCTACCTCTGCCCGGCAAGAGTGCCCTGGGCAGCCTGCAGTTCTCTCCTGGCTCTCTTCCCCCACGCTGTCCCGCTCGGGGTCGAGTGTCCTCCAGGCCCGGTGCGCGGCTGGACCAGGGGGCGCCCAGCACGTCGGCCAGGCCAGCCTGAGATGTGCTCAGCAGGTGACAAGGCCTCGGGTTCCCCCACGACAGGCCCCTCGGCCCCACGCCGCTCACCTGGCAGGAGCGAAACTGGCTGACGAGCAGCGTGCACCGTTGCGGGTCCTTCCGCCCGTCCAGACTGTCCAGCTCGGCGGCCACCTGGTTCAGCTCCTCGTCCGCATAGTAGAACTGGGCGAGCAGCTGTGGGTCCGACCTCTGCGGGGGAGAGAGGCGGCGGCGTGAGCGGGAGCATCACTGTTCCCGGGCCCCACACCCCTCACGGAACCTGGCACCTGTCCTGACTCCCTCTGCATCTCAGCCCACTTCTCAGGAGGCCTTCCCGGCAGCAGGGGTTCAGGGAGGGTGGGGTGTAGGGATCAGAGGCAGAGTAGAATCGGCTCTTAACAAGGGACTTGCTCCTAAAAGGAGACTACAATGGCAGCCGGTGAAGGACGCAGGTCCGACCAACACCCCACAATTTCCTCAAACGAAGCCTGACGGACTGTGGCGCCATAAGTGGTTGCCATCTGCGAATCTGTTCTCTAGAATCTTCTCAGCCCTCAGCCCGGCTTCCATCCCCCAGAAAATGCCAGTGGTCTGTGGCAGGAGGCCCCTCACCCCCACCCCTGCTCTCCTGACGGGCTGCCGACCGCCCTGAGCGCCCTGGCCGCCCCCGCCACCTCTGCCCCGGCCTGCGACCTTCTCCTTCCACACACCGGCCTCAGGGCCTCTGCACTGCAGCCGCTCTGGCCTGAGGCAGGAAGGATCAGGAGAAACCCACAGCAAAAGCGATGACGCCCTCGGAGATACTTTCAGAAGTGGTGGCGTTCACGATCGTGCAGAGAAAGAAAGGAGAGGGCGAGACCACAAACCAGGCAGGCGTTCAAAGGTGCCGGGGGACCACACGCACACACACTCACAGCACAGTCAGCACAACCCACTCTTCATCCTCACGGAGTTAGCACACGGTTGCTTGTCCCCTGATGCTGTTAAATGCAGGTAACTTACTGTCCCAATCTTTGGTGTCCCTTTTTCTCCCATCTCGGGGGTCCTCTTGGCTCTGGCGTTCCATCCCCTCCCCTGTGTGGCCCGTCGGCTGGCCTTTCTTCGGCTCAGGGGTCCGGGCCCTTCAGTGCCTGACTCGGTCAGCTCTCGGGCTGGCCCGGGGGGAGACCCCAAATGAGGCAGAGCAGACCCGCGGGCGGGGGCGCCCAGCTGTGGTGTCTGCCTGGGGGCGGGGGGGGGGGGGGGGGGCCCCCCCCGGGCGCCCCGGGCTGGGCCAGGGCGGCCTTCCCGGGGCTTTTCCAGGAGAGTCGAGGAGACGAGAATCTGTTCTGTCGCCCATTCACCCAGCAAACGCTGCCTGAACACGCACTCTGCCCGGGGTGCGGGGGCCCGGGGGTACGACCTGGGATGGGGTGGACTCAGACCCCCGCCCTACTGGCGACCCAGTGCCTCACACCCTCTCTGGTCCCGGGAGCCAGTGTGTACCCTCAGTGGGCTCAGCTGACTTGCTGGGTTCCTGTCACTCCAAGGAGGGTGACCAGTGTCCCCTCTGCGACAAAACAGGAACAGGATTGGGGTCAGGGGCTAGGCAGTACTTTTGTGCCTCTTTGCTGTTCCACTGACTGGTGGCGTGGAAAGTGATGCTCAGACAGCATCTCGAGGCCCTTCCCCTACAGGCCTGGAGTCCCAGGGAGGGGTGACGTGGCGGGCAGGGGCTGGGGGCACCCTCCGTGGCCTTGGGGCTACGGATTTTCAGGGAGGCCCTGAGGCCTTGCTCTTTGCTTCTCAAAGTCCCAGAATTGTGACCTGGCTCCCCTGGTGGCTGCCAGCTTCCCCTCCCGAGGTCCTGGATCCCACAAGCCGTGTCCCAAGAAGGAGAGGAGTGCCTCAAACAGCACCCTGTTACCAGTTACACGGGGGTCGTCCCTTCCTGAGAGGAGGTTGCAGCAAGGGGCTGAGGCCACCGCCGGCCAATGACATGTTCCGGACTCTGCTGGCACCGAGCCTGGGCACCTGACAGCCTGCTCGGGAGCTGACCTCGGTCACCAGAGGCCACTAGCTTCCTTCTGGCCCCAAACCCACCGGCTCCCCTCACAGCAGTGGGGTGGAGGGCAGGTGCTGAGAGCAGGGGGCACGGTGGAGACAGTCCCACAGCAGATGCCTCGCTGTGGCCCGGTGCCTCCCACAGAGCTGGCCTGGAGCCGTCGTGGTCACAACGCACCAGGGCAGGCAATGCCGAGCCTCCCTGCACCTGTTCCTGCAGCTGCCACCACTGCTCACAACACGACGCCCGCTGGCACAGCAGACAGGCTGGGGACTGAATTTAGGGCACCGGATGATGACACCTCCAGGAAGCCAGGTCTCTGTTCTGAGAAAGAGGGCACGATGCAGGGGGCCGTGCCCAAGCGTGTCCAGAAAATAACTCAGAAGCATCCTTTGCCCTGGCATTAAAAACCTCACCATATATAAGCAGACCTCAAATCCAAATATTCACACTGACGGCCCGGGCGAACACGGCCCCCTCTGCTATTGGCAGTGAGTGACCACGGAAGGTCCCGGAATGCCTGATGGTGGCCATGGTGCCAGCTGTCAGGAAGACAAGGCTCTGCCCCTCACATGGTCCCATTGACCCCGCCGGCCATTCCGCTCCCTGCACCCAGGAGGGGACCGAGCCTCAAGAGCGTCTTCCGAGTGGCCCTCAGCTTGTGCACATGCACACACACACCTTCCTCCACGTTCTGGAGAGAGTGACAAAGAAGCACCATGTGTTCAAGTGGAACTGTGGTGTGTGTGTGTGTGTGTGCACGTGTGTGTAGGGGCGTGTGTGTGGTTTGGTGTGGGTGTGTGTGGTGTGTGTGTGTCTCCGTGTGTGTGCGGGGTGTGCATGTGTCTGTGTGGGTGTGTGGGTGGCACAGGGAAGGAGACAGCAGCACCCAGAACTGGGTGCCCGCCCAGAGCTGCGTGGGCTCTAAACCTCTTCACGACCATGCCCCCCAGCGACAAGCACCTAGCAGGTGCGGCAGGATCCGGTCTTGGAAATGATGCACAGAGACGAGGCTCTTGGTCCCACTTCACTCTGATGTCAGTGAACTACAGACCTTAAAACCAGACCTACAGACGTGCTGTGCATCAGCAGAAAGAGAGCCGCAAACACACATACACACACACAGACGCGTGCAGCAGAGTAAGAGAATTCAGAAAACTTTTTCAAAGCTAGTGATTATCCTATATTACTGAAACCCAAAAGGCCTACGCTATTTGAACACTTTATTCGTACCCTGAGCCAGCTTTCCACCCCCTCGGGACTGGCATCGTCCACAGAGGAAGCAGACGTCCACTGTGTGTGTCCCGGGAAGCAATCCGTGCCGGCCGCGTCAGTCAGACCTGCCCGCGGACCCAGGCGCTGCGAGGGACAAAACCTCCAGGCAGGGGTTCCAGGAAATGAGTGAACACAACCTACAAAGTTCCATTTGTGCTGATGAACAAAATCCAAGGGAGAATGATAACACTCCATTTTCGCGTCGGAGTCTGCAGGGTCCAGAGTAACACGGGCCAGCTCAGCCCCGCCCACCACGGATGTGCAGCTCAGCCAGCCGGCAGGGTCACCACAAGTCTGCTCGAAGTGGGGGACCCATGGATGTTCAGGGACATGAGAAGTTGTCTTTCTCTCTTGGATTTAAATCATCTAGCCTTATTCTATAACATGCTAAATTAAATTTTATTAATTTTATTTATTTTCAAAGAGACAGAGAGAGCAAGCAGGAGAGTAGCAGAGAGAGAGAGAGAATCCCAAGCAGGCTCCGCGCCATCAGCTCAGACCCCGATGTGCGGCTTGGAGCCTGAGGTGGGGCTCGAACTCACAAACTATGAGATCACCGCCTGAGCAGAAACTAAGACTCAGAGGCTTAACCGACTGAGCCACCCAGGCGCCCCTAAAATTAAATTTTAAATTACACTTTTAAATATCCCTAAGGAAAATGTTCACAACATAGAGAACCAATTGGTATATATAAGAAGGACTCAAAAAATAACAACAACAACAAAAAAAGAACTCACCCTATTTTGAAATAAAAATTGTAAGAGAATAATTTAAAACTCAGTAGGAATGTCTTTTCTGCCACACTGTGTCGATATTTTCTCACCATCAGTTCAGGGCAGCGTAAGTTTTCGCGGTCGCAAGAAGACAAAACAGAAGCTCACGGAAGAAAGCGTCTGGCCTGGGAGGCTCCATGACTCTACGAACAGGCAGCATCAGAGGTGATGGGAAAACCAGGAAACCACAAAGAAGCACTAAGTCGAAGTGCAAACATGAACTAATTCAGCACTAATTTTGTCAAGTTGATGAAATCATTCTTTCATCCGAAAGCTGCTCTGCGGTGTGGGAGAGGGCGCCGGCCACAGTGGGAGGGGGCTCAGGCCCTGCTGCAGGCCCCGGGCTGAGCCGGCCGGCTGGGCTGGGGCGGAAGGCGGCAGGAGCAGGCCCGCCCAGCCCTGTGCAGAGCACCCGGATGAAGTTCACAGGGAAAGGGAAGGCCCAAGGTCGCATGGCGGGACAGGATGGAGCCCAGAGTCGGCCTGGGGCTCACACTAAGGACCCTCGGGCACCCTCGTGGGGAAGATGAAGGGGTGAGTGTGACAAGGGCTCCCATCCCTTTCACACCCTTGCTTCCCAAGTAAGAAGTGAGCACTGCAGTGGGAGGGCCTCACGAGGACGCCCCTGTTCGCTCCAGGCCGCAGCCGCACAGCCCCAGCCAAGCTGCACGATGGGGAGAAGGGGTGGAGGCAGATGGCCAGACAGGTGGGCAGGACAGATGGCAGGACAGGAGGCCTGGCCAGACCAGAAAGGACCAGTCCCCCACACTGCCCGGTGATGGAGCACAGCCCAGGTGGCATGTGGGGAGCCCCAGCCCCCTGCCCACCCCCCTCCCCTCAGCACCCGCCCCAGGATGTGAGCTGAGCTCCCAACGCTCGCTCGTTCCCCCGACAGGCCACCCCATATGCCTCCCGCCATCCCAACACTCAGCAGGAGCCAGCCTTCCAGATCTCAGTGGACCCCAGGTAGGCATCAGCTGGACAGAGTCCAGGTTGCTCAGGGGTGAGGGCTGGGCGCCCAAGGTGCCAGTCCGCCAGCCTTGGGCCTCTCCCAGACCAGCTTTCCAGTAAAGCCTCAGATTCCCCACTGCAACACCAGAAATCCAAGAATGTTGCCA